GATGACGACCATCGTCGTCAATGCCCATCAATGTCATAGAGAGGGCTGGACTCGCCTTTGTTGGTCTTGTCACCGGCAATGTCCTTCGCACCGGGCAAATCGTATCGGAAGGATGTCATATGAAAAGGGCTTTAAACACGCTCGGATAGTTCCGATTAGGGCTTCAAAAGGCTTTTTAAGGACACTTATTTTCCGTAAACTATTATAGACGACGTAAAGTTTCGATATTATATGCAAGGAGGGGTCATTTTAATTTTAATTTTTTTTACATCCTTGTTCTCTCGGATTCAAAGTAACGAATATGTTTTAAAAAATATGAATTTTAGGCATGCTTGCTTTAATAGAAGCAATGATTTAGCAACACAGTAAAGTAATATGAAGTGTATATAGCTTTCAAAATCAAAAAAAAAGGAAGATATTCTTGCCGAAGTATAATTTTATTAGCTTTCTTTATTTTGAATTTTATTAAAGTTCTTTAAGTACATTTAAACCAAATAAAACCATTGCTCTACAAAAAACCATGGCTCTACAATTAAATCATTAAAAAAGGAATAGCTTGGGTTATTGGTTTTCTAACTGATATTCTAAATAACAATATGTTAGATACAATTGTATAATTTGTTTTCATATCTAGAAACGTTTGCGAATATATAGATAAGAGCAACAACTTTGTATTGCATTTTACGATACTTATGAGACGATTGGGTTATGCCATACATTAGCTTAAAATGAATTTCAGACCGAGTCAGCACATTATTTTGTAAATTATTTTGTCTGCTCAAAAAGTGGACTCCAAACTTGGGAAGGGCTGCCCAAATTTGAATCTCTTTTCACTGCGCGAGGTGCTACATTTTGCATTTTATGAATTCAAATGTGCTTCATGGGTGTTTCATGCCTCGTCCAAAGGGGTTGGGGGAGCACAGGTAGCACAGGTGGGTTGGTGGTGTGTGTGCCAGTGTTTCCTCGCACTGAGGGATAATAAGATACCCTATGGCGCGGGGAGGGATAGGGGCTTGGGGTGGGGGTGGAGCTGGAGGTGGAGGTGGCATGATCATCGCGGCGATGATGACGGCGATGATATGGCAGAAAAGAGCGGGTCGGGCCAAGAGTTCAGTGCCGAATGCCAATGCCGGCGAGAAAGAGCGGCTGTCAGCGCGACGCGGTATCTACACGGCTACCGTGTGCGGGGGCGACTTCCACGCGGTCGTACGTCGTCCGCCGACAAATTGCCATTTACACCACTTGCCAAGACAGCAGTTACAGCTGTGTGTGGGGAGGCAGCAACAACATAACAAGTGGCACACCCACACAGCCGCAGTAGCGCGCTCACACAGATACTTTGTGCGCGCATATATGTATGTATGTATGTACATACACTTGCCTGGCGGCGCTCGGCCATACGGTTGTCTCGCTCGCACTGCTGCAGGGGCGTGGATGAGGCCACGCCACGCCCCTTTGCCAATGGCAGCCGCACGCTGGTGGGAGGGAGACAGTGCGACAGGGCGAGAGCGGTACATAGAATGTATCTCGCAGATACATTTCTACATTGTTGCAGCAGCAGAGCAGAGGCAGCAGCGCCAGCGAGCGCGGCAGAAGTAGCAGCTTTGAGTAGCTGCCGTTGACGTATTTTGAATAAATTTTAATTGAATTCGCACAATGAAACTGTTTACTTAACCTGCCACTTTGCCAGATGAGCTTCATCTGAGCGCCAATGCAAAGATACGGTTACGAGGCAGCCACATACATACAGTGGGTGGCCAACGCTCCTGCGCTGCATATGCGTTGCTCCCGTTTGGGGTTCCGAGGAAGCTGGGGATGCACACAGGATGTGCGGAACGCACTCTTTGTTTTAATTACAGCAGCCGACGGATTCGGTTTGTTAGCTGCTGTTAAATCTGCAGGAAGGCAGCGGAAAGTTTGCAGAATAGAGATACTTTGAGCATCTAACCCAATTAGGCTCCTACCCAGAAGGGACTCAAAAAGCCCATTCTATGAACAGGCCACCATCTTGGCTACTTACTTACTTTTCATTATGCAATTCACTTGGAAATGTGTTGCCATGTTTGTTTCCTTCGCAAAATAATATGTAATATAACAAAGCAGTTATTGAACAAAAAGAAGGAAAGCATTTTATTGAATCTCTTGTCAGAATAAAAGCGGAATAATGCCAATTTTACGCTTTTCTGCTCGCCCCATTTTATAATAATGTTCGGTCCATTTCAAAGAGGTGAGTTGAAGTGCTCTTTGCTCAATTTTTTATCTCGGTTGGAGGGAATAGCATTTAACAAACACTCAAGTATGAAAGTATGTCTAATTTCCGTGTAAATTCTAGTATGTTGTATTGTATTTTGGAACAAACAATCCGCGGCAAAAGTTTAAATTATTATAATTATATAAAAGATAACTTCAAATCGGTATTTTTGAGAATTTGTTTTCAAAAACATCATTGAAAATTGTTTTAACAAGATTTCCAAATACCCTTATTATACCAGTTACCCGAAGAGTAAACTTTTAGATATCAGGAACTATAAAAGCTAGAAATTTGAGATTAAACAGGCAGATTCCAGACATATACGCAGTGCAAGTTTGTTTCCAGAGGCTGCCACGCCTACTCTAAGGCCCACAAAACGGGTATCTGATAGTCGGAGAGCTCGAGTATAGTGTTCTTGTTACATTTTTAATTCATTACGCATAAATTCAATTATTTTAAAATAAAAATTATATTGGGTAAGGCGATGACACAATTTCCTGCACGCTAAGCACGATTCCCAGTACGTTAAGTACTCACCTTAACGCACTTACAGATCAGGAGATACCGAAAAAATCGAGTAGATGTGGAAGCATGGGGCCCGCAGCTCCTTTGTGGGACGCTCAGCTTCCGGTTCACTCCGAATCACGTGTCAGGTAAATGTGGCGCACAACACTCCTTCATTAAGTTAATAACAGTTTTCCAAGTACAAAGTGAAATTGCGAAATTCCGCTTCACAATTTTTCAGCAACGCTTTCCCAGCGCCTCCCGCCCCTTCCTCCTCCCTGGGCGATTTTCGTGGGGAAACTGCAACTGTAACGCTGTAATTTGCCATCGCTTTGCCTTTTGATTCCTCAACGGTTTTGTTTGGTTTTGAATTACAACCAACTCGCCCTCCCCGCCGGATTGTGTTTTACATCTTGATTATCTTCCGTTGTTTATTCAGGACTCACACTCGCTCCTCGCAGCAGAGCACACCCCCCATTGGCCTCGCAGGGAAGTGAAACACAATTTCCATTCAAATCCATTCGAGGATAAGAAGTCAATCAGTCTTCAAAGTGTGAAGGATTTCGCACTTTGTCGCAGCTAAAGTCCGACCGTATGCTGATGTGGCTGTGGACTCCACCCGCACATCGCCCATCGCCCAACGCCCATCGCACTTCGCAGCCGCCTGTCGGCGAGAAAAGCCACAGTGCCACAGAATCGGAATCGAACTCAATCCCGAAACAACCCCAAGACGCTCGACCGGCCAAGGAATATCAAATTGAAACTTTGCGCCGGCCGAAGGCGTCTTGCAGGCACGTGGCCATGTGGCTGGGTATCCCAGGTTTTCGCTTCTTCAATTACCCTTTCGACGACGACGTCGCTCGTATTATGATAATCGCATCCTAATTGCGAGAAAATTACGCCCACGTGCTGCTGTAACCCGATCAGGAGTGCCATCAAAGGATACGCTGCTGGTGGAGCAGTCAGCTGGCGCAGTGAAAGTCGGGCTCAAACATGACCCCTTACTCGCTCATCTATCTCATCTGTCGGCTATATTGAATTTGCCGACCCATTGACGGTGGCCAATTCAATTGCTGTTTTCTTAGTAATTCAAATAAACAATCATTCTTTGTAGCTTCGTCGAGCTGAAACCGAATTTTCTTTACAAGTAGTGAAATCTTACTGATGTTTTTATATTTTGTTGCCTTAAAGAAATTTACGATATCTATATCTGAAATATGGCTTACATAATAGGTCCCATAATTTTTTCTATGAAAATTAAAATTCATTGATATTTGTCTTAAACAACTATTTTATAAACTATTTAAATACAATTTTGAAAATCTATAAATTTAAATTCAATGTGAAGCTAAAATGTTACCGCTTTAGTTAACGCTATGTTAACTGCATCTATACCATAAATTTAACAACAGTCGAGAAAGCATTATACACGTTCACTGCTTGGAATGAAGCAGTTGACGTTTTATAGCAAGAATCAGTTGCCTTTTTATAGCACGAAGCAGTCAGAGAGCAGTTTTGGGAAAACTGCTTTAATGTATTTGGTTATAGCAGACAATAAGCAGTTACCGGAAATAAGCGGTCCAACAAGCAGTGCCAATAAATATTCGGCTTGTTTCATGTAAAATACCATAGGTGGCGCTTTACATGTGCGGAATCGCAAATCAAAAATGAAAAGGTTATTAAACAATACCGTTACTTTGTTTTGGTATTACAATTCTCGCAAAAATAATGTTTTTTGGCCTATGACGAAAGAACCAAAAGATACTAGCTGCAACAGAGGAGTACCCATTACTGGCAGTGTAGAAGGGACTTTGTTGTTTTCTTGCAAAACAATTAAAAAATAACATAACAAGACTAGTTTATTTATTCTTATGTGCCAGGCTTGGAGGAAAAAAATAGATTTGAGAATATATGAGTTTGTACTCTTTATATCCTATCAAATGAAATATAATTGATTTCAAGGCAACTCAGTACTGCAATCGAATGCCATTGATACTGACGACACTGAAATATAAAATTAACTGAAAATGTCGAGTATAAATTACAAATTGCGCATAACGCTTTTTAATGAAAACATTATTCAAATCTAATTGTCAAACCTTATGACCTTATTTTTTAGACGATGCAACTGCAGCGACTGAACCTAACGATTGATAACAGCACTGAGTTCCTAATTAGGAGTCACTATGTGATTGTTGTGAGCGCTGATTGGAGCTTTCGCCGAGCTTGGAAAAGCTCAAGCCACCCCCGATAGTCAACTCTGGTGCTATATTCAATTTCACGCTGAGAGCCTCAGTCCGCAATCGTCGGTTTTGCCAACCAAACGTGCTTCATTTTCCATCAATTGTCGCTTCGAACCGTTTCAAATATTTTCCGACTCCGGATTCAGGATTCGGGGGCTTGCCAGTGGGATTCCGCAGAGGATGCAACAGGATTGATACATTGTACGGAGGGCTGAGAGCCTGACAGAGCGATAATAGCCTGACTAGACGGATCCTGGCTCGCCATTTTCAGTGGATGTAACGGAATCCAGCGACTTCGCGACATCGGTTCGATTCAATTTGATTCCATTCGATTCGATACTGGTCTTACTGGGCGCTTAAGGTTGAGGCGAACAAAGGACCCTTCGAGGACTGTTGAATTAGTCAGAGGCGAAGCAACAAATACAAACAAACGGGCCATTCAACAACCTCCCGACGTCGTCGTATCGATTTTCCGTTACATCGTTATACACACACTAACCCAGTTGGCACACAGCCATTACGCATACGCCCCATAGCCACCCCAGAAAGCGAGAAGAGCGTGCGGCTCCAGCTGCTCCTGCTCCATCCCACTCGGCGAAGAGAGAGGGAGCGCCTGGCGGACTGGCTTTGTTGCATCCCGCAGCCACTGGAGGCATGTTTCATTTGGCACTCGCCAGCAGCGGACGGACAAATCATTTAGGTGAGAGAACCCTGGGGACGGAGAGGAGCAGCAGTAGCAACCGTAGCCGGACGGACAGCTCAATTGCGGGCAATTTATATATTTAATCCGCGGGCACACAACCCAAATAAAAGCGAACATTGTGCGCCCAATTAAAATCCCCCAACCTCTTCTCCTTTCGCACACAGGGCTACGGCAATAGCCATTGTAGATAGCATTCACCAGCATCGGAACCCGCGACCACTCACGACAGTGACGCTTTCTGCCGCGGAATAAGGTATCCTTCACCCCATCTCACAGTCGCCCCAACGAAATCGCAAGCCACCAGCAGGTGTTCAGCATGGCGGGAATTCAGCTGCAACCGGGATGTACGGTGGCCGTGGTGGTGCTGCTCCTGCTGCAGGTACTCGGGATGGGCCAGGTGCTCGGCCAGGGTCCACCGCAGGCCCAGGTGTGCCCGGAGCAGAGCGAAATCGCGCCCTGCATCTGCACGGTGAAGAAGAACGGGCTGGACATCCTGTGCGAGACCACCGATCTGGCGCACATCACCAAGTCGATGGGCACGCTGAAGGGCAAGAGTCCCATCATCTTCTACCTGAAGTTGCGCCACAACAATCTGCCCAAGCTGCAGGGCTTCGTCTTCCTGGCCCTGGACATCCGTCACCTGACCATCCACAACAGCAGCCTGGCGGCCATCGAGGAGAACGCCCTCAGCTCGCTGGGTAACAAGTTGGACACCAGTTGGAGATGGGTTACCTAATCTTTTCTCCTTGTCGCTTTCACAGGTGCGGGGCTCACCCAGCTCGATGTTTCCCTTAACCAAATGAAGACGGTGCCCTCGCAGGCTCTGCAACACCTGTTCCACCTGTTGATCCTAAATCTAAACCACAACAAAATCACCGTGATCCATAACAACGCCTTCGAGGGTCTGGAGACCCTGGAGATTCTGACGCTCTACGAGAATAAGATCACACAAATTGATCCCGAGGCTTTCCGTGGACTAGAGGAGTAAGTTTAAGTGGATCTCTAAAGTCTCCTTTGCGCTTATCAAACTCCTTCTTTTAGCCATATTAAGCGCCTGAATCTGGGTGGCAACGATCTTACCAGAATCCCGCAGAAAGCTCTTTCCATTTTGAGCACCTTAAAGAAACTGGAGATTCAGGAGAACAAGATACGTACTATCAGCGAAGGCGATTTTGAAGGTTGTTACTGGAAAATTCCATAGGCTATCCCATTGCCAACGTTTTTATTTTACATTCCGGCAGGGTTGCAGAGCTTGGACTCCTTGATTTTGGCCCACAACATGATCACCACCGTGCCTGCCAACGTGTTTAGTCACCTCACCCTGCTGAACTCCTTGGAGCTGGAGGGCAACAAGATCAGTGCGATTGACAAGGATGCCTTCAAGGGCCTGGAGGGTGGGTTGTCCCTTGCATTTTCCCACCCACTTTCTAATCTATCTTCCGAATCCACAGAGAACCTGCAATATCTGCGCCTGGGTGACAACCAGATCCACACTATTCCCAGCGAGGCACTGCGTCCATTGCACCGCCTGCGCCACTTGGACTTGCGCAACAATAATATCAATGTTTTAGCTGAAGATGCCTTCACTGGCTTTGGGGATTCCCTAACTTTCCTCAACCTGCAGAAGAACGAGTAAGATTCCCCCCTAGCTTAAGATCGATGAAATTGGTTACTTTATAGTAACTCAAAATCCTTTTTAAACCTCAAACTCTTTTAAAGATTTATTTTCCCTTTGATAAAAGATGCCCTCTCCTTATTTAGTTTTTCTAGACTTCATTACAAAGTATCTGTAACAATTATATTCCCCAATTCCTAGCATCAAGGTTCTGCCCAGTCTGCTCTTCGAGAACCTGAACTCCCTGGAAACGCTGAACTTGCAGAACAACAAGCTGCAGCGCATTCCGCAAGACATAATGGAGCCCGTCATCGACACCCTCCGCATCATCGATATCACCGGCAAGTCATGGGCACTTCATCCCAGTGAAGCACCTAAACGAACTAACCGAGCTAATCCAAATCCGTAATGTCCGCGCAGATAACCCGCTGAACTGCTCCTGCGAGCTGACCTGGTTCCCCAAGCTGCTGGAGGACCTGAAGAACAAGGACGACGAAATGTCGCAGAAGAAGAAGCCGCTGTGCCACATGTCGCTGGACAACCGCGAGTACTTCGTGCAGGCCATGCCCACCGAGAAGATGCACTGCGCCGGCCTCAATGTGAGTCCCTCGCCCACCAGCGGCGGTCTAATGCGGATCCTGCAAGTGAACATCCTGGCCCAGATTGCCGTGTGTAGCGTGGCCTTTCTGACTAGCGTCTAAGCATCTAGCCTCTGTCCAGCTAGACGCGATGTTCCATGTGGGTCAGTTTCAGCTTCAGTTTCAGTTCCACCCCCGTGATCAGTGATAGAATCCAACAGAGCGGTCGCCCCTCCAGTTCCATTCGGTTTGATTCGGCTGCCGTTGCCACCCAAAATCGCAAAAAGCAATCCCAGTCCCCAGATCACAGACCTCTCCAACGCCCACAAACCATTTCTGTGTTGTTGTATTGTATGTTTTCTTATAGATTATAGGGAATCCGTGAATTATGCAACTCTGCCAGTAATTAGACTCAGAAAGCACGCTTTTCGAACCACCAGCAGGCTTCCCCCCCGAAAGTTGTTGAGATGACGCGAGATGAGAGGCACCACCACCACTATCCGGTCCACCCACTGCACTCCGCTCCAGACGTGCACAGTAGCTCGACGAGAAGGGGAGTGCTGGCATGATATTCACTTGTCTGCGGACGTAGCTTAGATGTAAGGCTTGGTTTTGGCACCAAACCAAAACCAAAATCGAAACCCAAACATATCAGAATATTGTTACGTTTAAGCGTGGGATTTGTTGTTACTTGCGTTAATCTGTACGAGCTTATCTGTGCAGCCTAGGGCTACGTATGCCCATCTATTATGTGTAGTCTATCGTCGTCTTGTCGTCGGTGTTGTGAGATACAATCATTACTAACGCGTTTCGTAGTCCCTCCACCCGTTTCCAGACCTACCTACTGCACCCAACCGATCCCCAGTCGAAATTCGCAAGCTCCTCGAGTCCATGTGTCGTGTTATCCAGTTCTAGGCAACCATGGCCAAGTGCGGCTCCACTTTGGGTGCCAGAGGCGGGCGAAACGGAGGGGAAACACAAGAGAATGTAAGAAATTTCATTTGCATCAATCACCAAGAACTGATTATGGAATAAGTAGTTTGTACTCTTTATTTGCCGCGAGCACGGGCAAACTCCCAAGGAATCCCCATCCCCCATCCCCATACCCATCCCAAACCCAAAAAGCCACATCCAGAAGCCAGAAGGGGCAACCCACGAAAATCGAGAATGCATATCGTTATATTGTTATATTATATCGTGACATATCAAGAGCTCCCAGTAGTAAGACACTCGGATGGCTCGACACAGCTAATATAGTGACATTTTATAGAATTTACTTACATTTTTGAGGCATCTGACAAGTTTGATGTTTATGCAAGAAGTGAATTAAGCAAATGCGTGTGCAGAGTGGAATTTTTGAAATTTTTTATACATATACTTTTATACACACATACATACGTACCTTTTCGATTATGTCTACGCAAACTAAGTTGTAATTCGATTAGCTATAGACACTGACACCCAATCCGCCCGGTCGCTCCCTCCTCCACTCCAACCACGCGGTGGCTTGGGTCAGTAGCCACCCACTGGTGGGCGGTGGAGCAGTGGGAGCGGGCTCGGGCCGGAAATATTTTCAAGAGAATGCGCCGCACCACCGATTCGGGTCAGTTTCCTTTGGCTAGAGCTGTTCTTTTCAAAATATTGCTAACAATGAACCCCATCGAAAGCTGGGCTTGCGTAATGCTCCCCATGTGAGCAATCTGAGAATCTGTCTAATAAAGAATCCATGTTGGTTACAAATGCAAGCATGCGTTTCCTTTACTTGCTCATCCCTCGCAAATGCAGGGCATCCACCACATAAGGTAAATTTACATAAGGTAAATTTGCTTGAACAGCTTGTCTACTAATTCAGTTGACGTGAATTCGTTTTGAAATTCCTTTTTAATTTGTTAAGTTTAAGCTGAGCATAACCAGTATGAGCATACCAGTATCTTAGAATACGGCAGGGTTCCTTTCCTTGAAGTACCTGGTCTCAGGCACATCGAACCCATTAAATGGGCTGGCAATGGGCATGGTGTAGGCTCCCATATTGCGAAATCCCAAAAGGTCGCCCGGGTTCAAGCTGGGCAACAGCAGGTGTCCCGATATCTGAAGGCGAAGAGAAGCGAACTAGTATATTGCAAGTCTTTTAGAAGCCACTTACCTTATCCAAAGCATCGCAGCTGGGTCCCCAGAGTACAGATTTGAGCTTCGGCAAGCTCGCGGCTTCATCCTGGAATTGGAGAACAGTAGATTATTGCTACTATTGCTACTATTTCTGCTAAAATCAAAGGTAAACTACAAAGACTGTTCAACGACTTATGAGGAGCGTGGATAATCTATGGGTGGTATCTTAATCTCCCTTGCTCATTCATTGGCTAAGTAATGGGTCCTACAGCGTTCATTCAGGGTTTTCACTAGTGGTCTATACATAAGTCAGCAATTATATTTGCATATTCACAAGACTCCCTTATTTTACCATTTGCAGGGTATCGGTATTGCACTTCATTTTAATTTTCATTTAATATACAACACCTCCAGCATGGCAGTAAGTCTCTATTAAGTCTTGTATTATTTGTGGAAAGGTTACAAGTAACTGGGGGTCACTTGTTTTCTTACCAAGTAAAGCTCGGGGGCCATCTCCTCAGGGTAGTAAAACATGCCCGCGAACGCTCCGAAGATGCCATCATTGAGGTAGTACATCATGGAGTCCAGCTTGCCATCCTGGCTGCGGACTTCCCGCTTGGCATGTACCTTGCAGATCAATGTGTAGGCGGCCTCCACAAAGAAGCGTCCTGGCTCGGAAATTATTCGGACACGCTCATCGGGAAAACGCAGCTTCACCGATGTGTTTACAGCGTGTGCTATCTATAAGGAATATGCGTCCATCAATAATAGCTCGGAACCTATACCATTTCAGTACCCACTTCCTCGAACATCTCATCATCAGCGCCGGGAAAGCCACCGCCAACATCCAACAGCTCCATCTTATGACCTATCAGCTCGCCGACCTTAAAGATGCTTTCCGCCTTCTCGATGGCTCGATCGTAGGCCTCCACCTCGCTGCATCCGGAACCCACATGGAAGCTGGTACCCGTCACCTTCAGATCCAAGGCCTTGGCGAGAAGCATTAGGGCTGCGGCATCCGTCTCCGCATCGCATCCATATTTGTCACCCAAGGGGCACAGCGCCTTCTTGGCCTCACTTTTGAACCTGATTATAAGGCTGGAAAGAAGAAACATATCACCAAGCTACCAAACGCTCAGATTCATGTAGACTTACTTGGAATCTGGATGGTGTTTCCTCAGCTTGTACACCTCGAACTCGTTATCCACCGTGCCGTTGACCACCTGCTGCTCCTTGGCGTACTTCAAGTGGCTGGCAGGACGACAAGGATGTGCGAAGATAATACGCTCCGGCGAAACGCCAAGTCCCAGGACCTGAATTATTGTGTTTTTAAATGCGAAATGGGTCTATAGATAAACCTAAACCTATTCTCTCGATCAACCAACTCTTAGCTTTATACACTTTCGGCAAATTCAAATAATAAGTGTCGTTTTGAACCTTATAGCCTGGAAATTTGTTTACTTTGTAATTCGTTTATACTGCGCAATCCAAAATACTCTATCGATCCCAATTCCCACACAATCACACACATCTGTACCCACCAGTTTGAGTTCGTTTTTGGAGGCGCAGTCGAATCCAGTTCCCAGATCCGCTAGAACCTTGACCACCACCGGGTCGTCGTTGCACTTGACGGCATAGTGGGGCTCGATCCTGGGCATAAGTTTGTGCCAGAGGCGGAGCTTCCGCTCCAGATTGGACAAGTCGCAGATGTTAAGGGCCTGGTCCAGATTTTGGAGGTCTGCCTGCTCGATAACCTTGTGTATGTCGAGATCATTCTCGTAGTATTGTATTCTCAGGTCTCCGTTCACCATCTCGATTAGAGTGAGAATGGTTCAGAGCTGCTGTGCCTGCACAGCAAAAAGTTCCAGCTTTGGGATTATCTATTTGCGACTGACAGATACATTATTTGGACCTAAACCATAACGACTTTGGACATTGGATGGATTGCCTTTAGGTTTAAAGTCTGTGCATCTGAAAATTATGCTACAAAACAAGAGCTTACTAGCAGATTAATTGTTTCAGAAGATTGAGCTGGAACTGATGTCCATGAACGAGCCAGTTTTTTTTGCCAATTTGGAAGAAACCCATGCTCAACTGTTATTCGATAGTCAACAGTCTTTGGGCTCTGTATTAAGAAGCATTTTGATTTATTATTTCGTATTTGGCACTTTAGTATCCAATCGCATTTAAGATATGCGATGTTTAACATACAGATATACTTACTTTTGTAGTAACATTACCGCCAGTTGTAACACCCAGAGTGTCTTCTTATAAACCCAAGTCTACTACGTTTGGAAGTTTTGAAGTTTGGAGCAAGTATCCAATTAAGTCCACAAAATGTTGCTTTTATTGGTTTGAGTAGGTGTTTTAGTCATATCGCTCGGAAATACAGGGTCTTAGGCAATTCGAATCCATTAAATGGACTGGCAATGGGCATTGTATAGGCTCCCATATTGCGGAATCCCAAAAGGTCGCCTCGGTTTAGGTTGGGCAAGTGCAGGTCCTCCGAAATCTGACGACAAACGCACACAATACTAGATTTCTCCAAGCTTAAGACAACATTCGACTCACCTTATCCAGGGCATCACAACTTGGCCCCCAAATCAAGGACTTTAACTGGGGCAAAGAATCCGCATTGTCCTGTGGGATAGAAAGTGGTTTGCATATTAAAAACATTCGGAGTTGTTGAACTATTTCATTTGTTCAATAAAAAATATACATAAATTACCAGATAATGCTCTGCTGTCACCACTTGATGGTCGTACAGAATGCAGTTGAAGGAGCCATAGACGCCATCATTCAGGTAGTACATCACGGTGTCCAGCTTGCCAGCTTCATTCCTGATCTCCCGCTTGGCGTGGATCTTGCAAACCAAGGTGCAGGCTGCCGCCACGAAGAAGCGTCCTGGTTCGGCGATTATTCGAACGCGTTCGTTGGGAAAATGACGCTGCACCGAGGTATTCACACTCTCCGCTATCTGTAAACAGTTCGCTGTAAGAAATTTCATCAAAATCCGCGGCCAACTGCAAACTACCTTCTCAAACTTTCCGTCATCGCTGCCGGGAAAGCCACCGCCGATGTCCAGAAAGTCCATGTCATAGCCTAGTAGGGCGCCGAACTTGAAGAGGTTCTTGGCCTTCTTGATGGCCCGATCGTAGGCCTCCAGCTCGCTGCACCCGGAGCCCACGTGGAAACTGGTGCCGGTCACCTTCAGGTCCAACGATTTGGCCAGCAGCATCAGGGCCGCGGCATCCACATCCGCATCACAACCAAATTTGTCACCCAGTGGGCACTGTGCCTCCTTGGCCTCGCTCTTGAATCTCACGATCAGGCTGGATTACAACGTAAATATATACTAAAGATCCGCCCCGAGAGTCAGGCACCTACTTGGAGTTGGGATAATGCGTGTGCAGCTTGTACACCTCGAACTCATTGTCCACCGTTCCATTGGCCACCTGGTGCTCCTTGGCGTACTCCAGATGGCTCACAGGGCGACAGGGATTGGCGAAGATGATGCGCTCTGGTGGGACATCGAAGCCCAAGACCTTAGAGTGGAATAGATTCAAAAAAATAATACAGTTCCGACAAGTACTATTAAGTACGTATGTCTGACCAAAGACACTAGAATAATAAGATGCGTAACGCCATACGATTTTTTTGCACACGATATTTTCGGGCTGGCTCTAGAGCTTGCTCCAGGCTCTCTCGAATTTTTGTTCAAGAGCCAGAGAGAGAGAGAGAGCGCTCTAGAGCCAGCAGCTTTCTTGTACACATTAGTGATGCCAATATTTTTCTGAAAAAAAAGGACAGATTGAGAAAAAAAAACGGAAAAAATAGGCAGAAAATTTCAAAAAAGGATGAAAAAACAGGACAGATTTTGATTCATACGTTGCCATTGTGCCAATGCGTTTCAAATACGTTTCGGGCATTTTATAGGCTTCATTTAAGACAATTTTTTCTACTCACTTTAAAGACCTCACTATTTCACTCACTAATATAATTATGACAAAATAATAGTTTATTATTTAATTACTTACAGCTCGAGATTAATTTAGTAGCACTTTGTATACGAATAAACATAAAAATATATATCCCTTTCAGTGCAGGGTAATCAATATCTTTACAATAATTTTATATTGTATTTTAAATATTTTTTATGAATAAATATTTTAAAATAAATATTATAACATTTCAAACACTTGTATGAATAACATTTGCCAGGTTATTTGTTCAAGAGGGATGCCAATTTGATCTTGCAAGTAATCACACTTAAGAACACATACACTACACTCGCTGCTCGACCGGTAAGAGAGATTACTTGAACTATTTTGCGACTCTAAATTAGAAGACATACCTTACAGTCTTCACTAGAACTAGTTGGGAATTATAGGGCTACCAGAAAATATGTTTCCTAAACAAATATTAAAAGCGGCAATGACTGTGTTCCGACAGTAAGGTAAACATTCTTCAGGCTTTAATTAAGACAATTTTTACTAATTTGTGCAAGTAACACATACATGCATACATACATACATACATATATACATACATACATACATACATACATACATACATACATACATACATACATACATACATACATACATACATACATACATACATACATACATACATACATACATACATACATACATACATACATACATACACACACATATAAATACGTACGTACATATATACATACATACACTACACATACACTACACTCACTGCTCGACCTGTAAGAGAGATTACTTGAAATATTTTGTGACTCTAAATTAGAAGACATGCCTTACTGTTTTCACTAGAACTAGTTGGGAATTATAGGGCTACAAGAAAATATGTTTCCTAAACAAAAATCTATATTATTTGTACTCTGGCAATCGAGTAGAAAGTACTCGTTAGTAAAAAGTAAAAACTCGAATTTTTGATTGCCCTAATATGATAATTATTTAATGCAAACTTACATATGTAAATGACCAATTTTCTGTATTTGAAATGCAAATATTATTTTGTTGAATGTTTTTGTTATATTCTAATTTGATATTTTTAATTATGGTTTCACTCAAATAATGACTGTTATGTGCATAAAATTGATACATATTTTAAACAAAATTATAAAAGTTTTACTTTTTAAGCATTGCAAGCAAAACTCAGCATTCTATCTCAAATATGAAAAAATTAGTGAGATAGAAAAAAATAGAGTACAAAAATTTAATAAAATTAATTAAAAAAGGAGCAAATTATATCGAAAAGCAATAGTTAGAAAACTAGCTTAGTTGGGGAACATGGAAATATTTTATGTTTAACATTTATTATTTCAAGTCGACTCGAAGTATAAAGTAAAGTATATTAAAACAACTTCTTAAAAAAAAAAATAGTCACGGCATCAATTTTAAAATAATATTTAGCTCATATTACAACGAAATTGACCAAAACATTAATCAAATTCGTTTCTTAGATCAAAATTGATTTCGGACCGAAAATCGTCTTCTAGCACAACTTTTTTGTTTATTGTTTTCACTCACACAAGCAAGTGAATTCTATTTTTAGATTTTTATGCTCTCAATTTTATGCGAGCGGGGAGAGAGCAATTACTGCCGCCGCAAAAAAAGTGGCTGCATAGTGCAAAATGCAAAATACATGGCCGTTACGCACCTTATTATTCTAGTGTCTTTGGTCTGACTCTGCAATAACACGTGCTAATCGCCTAAAAAGTGATTGATAAGACCCCGTCGTTAACTACAAATACGTTGAGTTACTTCATAAATCATTTGTGGAAAAATGTATTAGAGTGGCACCAAGAACATGATTCCTTAGATCATTTGATGTTTCTGTGGTACTTGCAACCTGAACCTGAAGTACTTGCATGTGCAGCACAAGAGTGTCGTTCCACCCACCAGCTTGACTTCGTTTTTGGAGGCGCAGTCGAATCCGGCGCCCAGCTCGGCCAGCAGCCTGACCACCACGGGATCATCATTGCACTTGACGGCGTAGAAGGGCTTGATCCTGGGCAGGAGCCGCTGCCAGAGGCGCAGCTTGCGCTCCACGCTGGACAGGTCGCAGATGTTGAGGGCCTGGTCCAGGCGCTGCAGGTCGCACTCCTCGATCACCCGGCGGATGTTGAGCTCGCGTTCGTAGAACTGGATCTGCGTTTCTGGAGAACCGCCCGCCATCTCGAGAAGATCGCAACTGAATGGGGCGCTCACGCCCCAGCTAATCCCACTCTACGAGTATAGGGGTTATCAGTCAACGACTTGGGCTCGAATCGCAGCAGACTTTCGAAACATTTAGGAACACGCTCCGAAAACGTTCCTCTCGGCGGAAAACAATGAGGCTCTAATTAGCGGCAAAGGTCAAGCGATTGGCCGCACCCCTCCCCGCTCGTTTCTCCGCTCCAGATTTGCGATATTTGCCAGAACGCGTTATTTACAACCAACAATATTTGGCATCGTAAATAATTTTAATGCCCTGCCCGGCTGCACGGGCATGCAAAAGTAATAAAATGTAAATTTTGAATGGCAACTGGCCGAGTGGCCATCGAGTCGCGCATAATCGACACTTGCCCCGCGGACACGGGGCACTTGGGTTCGCGATCTGAGTTGGAAATCGGAAATCGGAACTCGGAATGGCATCAAACCCCTACACACCCCTACGAGATTCCACGGCAATGACAATGGCAATAATAATAGTAATAATAGAAGCGTGCGCGGCGGCGAAAGGAGGGTTGTTGTGGTCTGTGTCCCGGCCACTGGAGCAACCCTCGACTGGGTCCGAACTGGCAATTAAAAATTAAAATCAAACTTTCGTAATCGATATTGGCAATTGCCTGCCGGCTCGCTGGAGTGTCCTATCAATCACCCTTTAATTGGCCAAGCCCATCAATATTTTTTCGCACACCCTTTGGCCGTCGGCGAAGATGTTGCCACCGAAAGGAGTTGGAATCCCCAGAATGATAGCTGTCAAAAGCGCGGACAAAAGTTCTGAGTATTGAGCGATGGCCGCGAAACATACTACATATGTATCTTGTCATGCTCAGAAATCGAGGCGCAGCGCCTCGATTCACCCGAATCATTGCGATTTGATTGCAATTTGCTGCGAGTGTCATCATTCACTCGAATTCCGCTCTCCAGCTCCGGTGCGGTTTCAAAACTAACCCGAATCCGCACTTTGAGTGATGTGACAAATCGAGGACAGGCCGCAAAGTGCTCAAAAAATCGGAATCGGTTAGGAATCGGAATGCCAGACAGGCACAGGCACTCGTACCGTGCTGAATTGTAAAACTGGTTTCGCCTTTTTACAACTAAATGCGTTTAAATCATTCGCCCAAATTGCTGGAAATTTACATGCGAATGTCATTAGTCCAGTCGCCAGTCCCATCGCTTCCCATGGCAATTGATTTGATTTAAATCCATTGCAACTACGCTCTTCGATGGAAAAGAAACTCTTTACTTTTGGAAAACCATTGCAGTTGGAAAACCAACCTGGCAACTTTCAGCAAATGCAATGAAAGTATTGGGGTCACCACACTGATCTTTGTCTGGGCAACAAGTTGATTACACGAATTGCTGTGAGTCTGTTGATAAGCCGAGCGAACTTTGGAAAATTCCCTTTCTCGAGTTCCTAGACGTAGCTAGACATTTAATAATAGCTTAACTAATACACTTCTTTGGGCGATAAGCCCAATTCTGCTAAATTCTATATTTATTCTTGTTTCTAAAAGCTAGCATTAATCTGTGTTAGTTTCAAAAATCAATACCAGCGAACAATTATAAGTTATAAACATTTTGCCGCTGAGAAGTAAAACATACGAGTTTTTCACATGACTTGATCGCACTAAAAAGTAGGAAGCTGTTGTCTTGGATCCCAAAGTTCGCTGTTTTATTCAATCGTTGTCAGTGAGCAAGCAACGTGATATTTTGATGTTTTTCTCCACCAAATACTGTGTGTTCTCAGGTAAAAATCGCCTCCCCCTCAGCATTCATGGCATGGATACACTATTTATAACGCATTTCGCGTGGAACATAAATTCCCATAGTTACATAAATACCTGCCGCAAGTTTAGCGGCGACCCTCTCCGTAAATAGTTTCATAACAAACCTGCCACGAAAGGCAGCGCCAAGTTGGCGCCCACATCGGCACACGAACCATAATAATCAGGGAGCCGGACTCACCTTTGGTTCTTCGGAGCACCCCAGGCACTTGACCGGCTGGCTAACCGAGGGCCGTCGGTTCAGGGGCTCAGGGCTCTGGGCTCTGGGCTCTGGAGGGGAGTGGGCTCTGAGCCGGGCCATTACCGCATTAGCGACGACCCACTCGAGATTCCCAATCTGTGCGCCAGGATCATACTGCGCCTGTGCCGGCAGAGGCTCTCAGCTGGCGCTAGCAGTGCTACCCAGGACACTGGGCAAAAGCGCGAAGTAGTATTTCACAATATTTCAGAATATTTCAGAAATGTTTCCATACCAGCATTACGGGGATTTGTGAGAGCAGGAGCAGGCATGATTTAAAACCAAGATCAATTATATACAATTTTTTAATTCTTTATCCAAAACATTGCATACAAATATCGTTGAAAACACCACTTAATTACATAATTTAAGCGAAAAGAGGTGATCAAGGATATCCCAAAATTATCGCGACACTAAATCACTATTTCCAAGTATTTTCCGCTATCCATGAAACACTTAATTTTTCAGCGTGTTGCGAGCCGCTGCCGCGAGGATGAGTCACTTGGCAGGAGCGCGGCATGGGAGGTCCTTGCTCCACCTGCAAGGGTTCGCCGCGGCGCTTCCTCGTTCAGTTTTGTTTGGATAGCCCAACGGGCTGCAGTGGCGATGAGGCAAATGCCGCGTCTGACGGACGCAACTCCGATGGAAGGGCAACAATAGCCACTGTAATTGCGGCGTTCAATTGGGAGAATAAAGCGGCAGCGACACAAAGACATCGCCAACATGTCGCATTTGCTGAGGCGCACCAAGAAGTCCTGTCTGAAGGTTAGTCCCCGCGTGGCGCCCGAGTGGGTGGCCATCTATAGGAAATCGATGGCGACCAGCGCCGCATGAAAATAATCGGTGAAGCTCGCATGACCGTGCTTTTGGCACGTTAATCATACGCCGCGTTGCCCGCTAGCGCTATGTTTATCCGTATCGATTTGTGTGCTTGCAGTTCCTGCGCAAGATATCGACTTCAAAGCAACTCTTTGTCCAGCGGCTGGACGAGGAGGACGGTGACGACGAAGAGATGGAGGTGGAGTTGGAGGTGGATGAGCTGAACCTGCAGCGGGATCTGGAGCTGGATGTGAACAGCAATTGCCCGGTGACGGAGGCCATCTACGAAGAGCTGCAGCTGAGTGAGTGCAATCAGGCCTTGGACTTGGCCAAGGAGGTGGCGGAACTGCAGCCGGCAGCCAAGCATGATCTGCGCACCAAATACTTGATGAGCTGCGGCAACTACGAGGTGTTGGCCACGCCGCCAACGACCATTGAGTTTGAGCGGGTGAAGTACAAGGCGAATGTCCGCTACCTGCGGCACACGCCCTCCAATTCCAGCCTGGATCTGCAGCTGGAGGAGCAGCAGGGGGAGCACACAGAGCAGCAGCAGGCCACTCCGCGGGAGCAGCAAGTGCAGCAGCAGGCTACTCCGAGGAAACAACAAGCGCAGCAGAGGATTCCCACGCCCAGCCGCTACCATCCCTGCAGCATCAGCCTGGGCTCCAAACTGGAGGGCAACTACCACAGTGTGGTGATAATGGAGCCGCCGCACGACGACTTTCCCATTGTTAAGTGGGACATCAACGGGAACTCCCTGGACGACGACGCCTGCGATCGCTGGGATGACTTCGACGCCAGGTGGCGGCAGGCGGCGGCGGCCACCAGATCCCTCTCCCAGTCCCAGAAGTCCAGCCACCAGTCCAGCTCCTGCACCCTGGAGACCTGGGTGGACGACACGGAGCCCCTCAGCCTGGAGCTGCACCGACACGACACTGCAGTAGGCGGAAACAACTGCAATATTTGCCTTAGGAGCTTCTGAGTCCGGTACGGACACTCAGCGGCTTTGTAACCTTCACTTTGCGTCCAGCGATAGAGCACGAAAACCAGTCTTGTGAGAATTACCTACATATACGTGTATACATGTATTCGAGTATTTGAGTCGGCAGACCGCAATTTTCATTATAGAAAGTTGTTTTCGAGAATATCCATTAACAATAAAGTGTGTATGTGTGTGCGGCGCTCCTTTGGCTCCATACCTTGAGTAATGCACTTCAGAATGCGAACGTAACTGGGAATGCTAACGCGAACGCGAATGCGAATGCCCTTTGTCCTGTGGGAGGGAGTAAGTTCGTCGCCCACCCATCCATTGATCCATTCCGGCGCACGACCCGCACGTGCTGGACGCTCGTGAGAAGCCGTAGACCTTTGGCTTTCCCACGAGCCACGGCTGCGATTTCGTGGGTTCGTCCCGTCGTCGGTGGTGCAACTTGCCGCCTTGTCGCTATGTCAGCCCGGCACTATTCATCCATTCATCCACTTGATTCGGGGTGGGTTCCGGCGAGCCCACGGAGCGAGTTTGTCCCACGCTGGCACTGCCACTGGCATTGGCCATTAGGCATTTCCACTTTGCTGCTGGCCGCAGTCGGAACCTGAGCGACAGCATGCCGAATCAAATGAAAAGCACTTTTTATAATTTTCGATTTTGATGTACTTTTTTGAAATTGATATGGGGCGCCATTAAAATCAAGCTTACGCCGCGACAATCGAAGTTAATCGAGAAAATGGCAAAAATGCTACACTAAATCACGTTGTGGGGGAGAAAGAATAATGATCTTCCCCGTCATAAGCTAAATTGTAACCTTTGACAGGAAAGAACTCATACGCCTTGGCAATAATGAGATACTTTGAGGTCCTGCGTTTGTGCTGAACAATTTTACACCGATATCCGCAGATTATTCATTTTTTAAAGGAATACTTCAAACATTTCCTCTGCTTGAATTATTCCTATGTATCCCTGATATCTGCAAGTGGGGGAAAGTTCTATTATACCACACCAACCAGGTATATATTCGTATTAGCCAGCTCTGCCGTAGATAGTTTTCTATTTGTATTTTAATCATTTTTAATCAAATGCTAGATTTAAAAGGTGTCCGTCCGGCAGATACTTAAGTAGTAATAGGCTTGACAATTCGAGTTGAAATTATTTTTTATATAATCATTTATAGGTAACATTGGAATACATAATAATATCAAGCAACTGGGCTCGAAGGTTGCAGAATGATTTTTTAGGTAGCGATTTTAGGTACCCTATCATAATGAAGAGAGTAATATTAAAGTTTTTAGATTTTCCAAAGCCCAGGTTTATGTTAAAGGAGAACCATTTTTGATACCTATGATACCTTTGATACCTTGATATTTATGAATAAATAAGAGGAAACGCTATAGTCCATTTTATGGACTATTATATACCCTTTACTCAGCTAGCAGGAGTATAGGAGGCATAAGTTTCAACATTTGGTTGGTGCAGCATTTAAAATTGTCAAAACAAATAGTAATATCAAAAATGTATCATGTTTTCTGCATATCGATAGAAATTGGTAAAAAAATGAAACAAAATCTGACAAATTGTGGGCGTTAGAGTGGGCATGGACGATCCAGCGCTGCGCTACATCTCTTCAAGATACCAAGACCTATGCGTTCATACGGACGGACAGACGGGCAAGGCCAGATCGACTGGATAGAGTAAAAAAAATAAATTTAATTAGTTAAACCTCTTCAGCATACACAATTTAGAATGGATCATTCATGCGCATCTGAAATTTAAGAGTTACAGAATTGGGTCTGCCCTCACGTCTGCTGTGACCGTGGCAGTTAACTTTACTCATATTCCTATTGTGATTTTCCACAACGATGCTTAAGATATTACATTAAAGCTCTCCAAAACATAAAAGGGTATTATTTGCGCTTAGCATAGCTGTAGGTAAACAAATCGATATTGCCTCGGGCAATTTCTAAATCAACTTCGGTCACCTGCCGCCGCAGTCGCGGTTATCTCGGCTCCTGCTCCTGCGGATGTTCCCATTCCCATTCCGGGTTCCGGATTTTTGATGCCGCAACCTTGAGCCGGCACTGACCTAGAATTGTGTGGGCCACCCACCAGCACACGTCCCACTGCTCAGATAGAGGTCAACGGCGGCTGTTGCACTTGTTGGGGCCACGCGATGCCACACGACCGGCGCGTGCTCCAGTTTGAGTTCCATGGTCGGGTGCAGCCGCTCCAGCGGCGAACAAGTGGACGGCGGACGTCGCCAGTTTGTCGCCCACGGCGCCGATTAGAGGCCGTGCTGCAGATGCTTTCGATGCTTTAGATGCTGCTGAAAGGCTATATCAGATGCTCGGACGACACAATCGGACGAATCGATGACAGAGGCTTGCTCATTTGCCGGCTCGCCGCTCCTTGTCGCACACTCCCTTGCTCACTTGGCGGCGATCGCCGCGCGGCGAATATGTTTATTCCCTGTTTCCTACCCCAATCTCGGCCAGCACGCGCTACTCGTTGCCAGGGGGTGGTTGCTGCTGCATCTTATTGGACGGCTGCCGCAGGCGGTAAAAAGGGGTTGAGCGGCGGCAGAGGAGGGCAGGTCGTCCGCTCGACGTGTGCTGCAGAATCAGTCGAACGCCGTTCGCGCACACGATAAGTCACGTGCTCAAACTAGCTCCGCCAACCCGGTCGCCAACTGCATCTGCAACTTGCAACGAGCAACTCGCAACACGAACAACAGCAACACCCACACAGTAGTGTCAAGTGCGCAGGAGCAGCAAGTAAACACTGGTCACCACACCCACAATGGATCACAACATGCACGTGAACGCGCCGTCTCTGCACCACTGGGGCTACGCCGCCGGACCCGGAGTGGTCATGCCCGGCGCCACCGCCACAACCCCCCACAGCCACTGGGTGCCGCCGCCACAGAGCCACCACAGCGGTCACAGCAACCACAGCCACGGGCACAGCCAGAGCCACAGCCACGGAATCGGCAGCCTGAAGCGGACGCTCTCCGAGAGCGACTGCGACGATCTCTACTCCGAGGAGTCCTCCAAGGAACAGTGCGTATTTGTGACTTCTACCAAAAGTGTTTCCAGTTTAGTGCACGAAGAGTTTAAGCCTAAGGCGTTCCTAGTTAGGAGTTTTCCTGTTAAGGAACACTTTAAAAAAACTTTACTTAGTGCATCGAAATAATGGATAACTCCACCTAACCCAAGGAAAGATAGTTAGATAGATATGATTGCCATAGCTATACAGTTAGGAGCTGTCGTTATAAGAATCTGGAAAAGTTCAAAGGAAGATAATATTATAATCCATCCTCATTTTCAATCCATATCTAACGGAAACCCTTTTCTGTGTGCTTCTAGAATCTCGCCCAGTGAGCCGGGCAGCTGCCAACTGATGAGCCGCAAGAAGAGACGCGGAGTGATCGAGAAGAAGCGGCGGGATCGGATCAACTCCTCACTCACCGAACTCAAGCGCCTGGTGCCCTCCGCCTACGAGAAGCAGGGATCCGCCAAGTTGGAGAAGGCCGAAATCCTTCAGCTGACCGTGGAGCATCTCAAGAGCTTGCAGTCCAAAAGTAAGTGTACTAAGCCAACTTGTAGTGAGCGACTTGGCTCTTGGGAGTCAGCTAGAACTGAAGTCATCAATCACAATAGGAGCAGGAGGGTTTCCTTGGTCAGCCAACAAAGTTGGTTAATTAGCGTTCCTTGACGGCATCCAGTTTGAAAATACTAAGAAGGAGATTGCACCAAAGGTTAAAATTACATTAGGCCTGATTAGAGCACTAGCAAATTAACAATGCATTACTGTCCCACTGACATTGCAATCCCACTAAAAAACCTTCCTAAACTAGAAAACTAAAATCCCTAAACGAAGCCCGCTGTGGGAAACAATTGAGTCACGAAATTAAATACAATATGCGGCAAATTATCACAAATCTGGGTAAACAATCCTGACCTGTTGTCCCGATCAGGGTCGAATGGTGGGAAAATTATGATTGGCATAAGCAAAGCAGGACAATCTACCACCACCCCACCACCCCAGCGCTCAAGTGAATCTCGAATCTCGGGGCTTCCCACGCTCAGCAGTGGTACCACCACGATAGCAAGTTTTGAAGCCAGGAGCAGGCGTTCACCCCCTGATAGCCACCTCACAACGAGCCATCCCGCCGAAGGACATGGGGGTTGTTCTTTATGCTCGTCGCGTGGGAACAGCTATTTTAATTGTTTGCCTGAACTGGGATTAGACAGCTTATTGACTTTCTCCACCTCCTCGTATCTGTTGCAGGTCTCGACTCGCTGAGCTACGATCCCCAGCGAGTGGCCATGGACTACCACATCATCGGGTTCCGCGAGTGCGCCGCGGAGGTGGCCCGTTATCTGGTCACCATCGAGGGCATGGACATCCAGGATCCTCTGCGCCTGCGCCTTATGTCTCACCTCCAGTACTTTGTGCAGCAGCGCGAACTCTCGGCAAAGAGCTGCGCCAGTCCCGGCGGCTGGACCCCGGCTGCTCCCAGTTCCTCCGGCTACCAACCGAACTGTGCAGCTGCTCCCTACCAGAGCTATGCGGCACCAGCGAACCCGGGTGCCTATGTATCCAGCTACCCCACCTTAAGTGCCTCGCCTTCGCAGCAGGCTCAGCAACTCGGAGGACGCACCAGTGTCTCGCGCACTAGTGGCACTGCCGTGAATGAATCGCTGCCCAGCCATGATCTCCACTCTGAGAGCAGCAGCCAGCAACAGCAGCAGCAGCAACAGCAACAGCAGCAGCAACAGCAGCAGCAACAGCAACACCAGCAGCAACATCAGCAGCAACAGCAACGGACGCAGACAACACCGCAGCCGGCGCAGCAGCAACACTACACCCACGACCACAGCGCAGTGCATCCCGAGCAGCAGGTGCCCACCTACATAGAACTCACCAACAGCAATCGCCCAGCGGCCCTAGGCTCCGAGAGCCTCAGCTACAGTGCCGCTCCTCAATACCCGGTCAGCGGACTACCAGGCCAGGACTACAACAACGCCAGCGTCCTGCAGTATGCCACTCCCAACGGAGCCAAGCCCTATCGTCCTTGGGGCGCCGAGATGGCCTATTGACCGGGAAAGTTAGCCCAAGAAGCGATATTTCAACCTCTAGTCAGAGCAGACCAAGTGTGATAGTCTTAAGTTTCGCATCCTACACAGAAAAAAAACGGAGAATGAACGCAGTGAGATTAGCTAGTGGCGTTCGCCTATAAACTTAAGTTATTCAATTTGATACCTATAATTCTGAACCTTTTGTGAATCTATTGTAAATAAACGAATGAGTTTATAAGGAAAATTTTGAAACTAGCTCGATAATTGATATTTTTACCAGGGAAAGGTATCAGCATCGTTCACGTACGGTGGACAAAATAGCTCTGTATTTTGTAATGAAATGATAACCTATTCAAAAACACCTGTGGTATACGGTTATAACAAATTAAAAACTATTGGAACCAAACAAAAAAGATATAGCAATGCGAAACCTTTGATTAGTGTTTTGTTCCGACGATCAGAGAAAATATTAATTTTAGCGCACATTCTTAAGGAGCGCAATGTCACTACGCGGATTAACCACTCACTGTCCTGGTAGCTGCATTATCCGTAGGTAAATGTGAACAATTCGAAGGTAAGAAAAGATTACCGAATCCTTATTAGTTTAACACGTCAGTCAGTGGGTATGTTTTCTAGAAAAAAAAATTTTATAAAGAATTAATTGATTTCGATCTATGGGAGAAGACAGTTCGAGGCGCCTCCCGCGTTGGTGGTTTGGAGGGGTTTGCGCGGCAATCGCTGTGACCGCCACAAATCCGCTGGATCTCATCAAGGTGCAATTGCAGACCCAAACGCAAACGGACAAGAAGTCCGTGGGGGAGATCATTAGGACCATATACCAGCGGAGCGGCTTGTTGGGCTTTTATAATGGCATTTCAGCATCCTGGTTTCGGCAGCTGACCTACACCACCACCCGGTTCGCCTTGTACGAGGCCGGAAAGGAATACGTCGACACCAAAAACGTAAGCGCCAAGATGGCACTGGCCACCTTTGCGGGGCTCGTCGGTGGGGTTGTGGGCGTGCCCGGGGACGTGGTCACAGTGCGACTCCAGAACGACATCAAATTGCCGGAGGACAAGCGACGTAAGTGAGTACTACTACCTACTACTGGTCTCCTTTACTAGAGATCTCATAAGCTTTGTCCGTCTTCTTGTCCACGTGCTTGTTTGGTTTGCTATTGGTTTGTTTTGAAAATTTAAAATTGCGAATCATTATGATTACAAATTCCTCCCTCTTACATATAGACCATATAATTAAGCCGAATTCCGCAGCTACAAGCACGTTTTTGACGGCCTTTTTCGCATCTACAAAGAGGAAGGCGTGTCCAGTCTCTTTCGCGGCACATTCCCAGCCGTTTCCAGGGCAATCCTGCTGACCATCGGAACGAATGCGGCTTACGACCAGGTGAAAGGCATGCTCAAGTCCGCAACCGGAGCAGCCGAAGGAGTACCACTGCACTTTGCCACCTCCTCGATAGCTGGATGCATTGCCGTGGTGATAACGCAACCGCTCGATGTCATCAAGACCACCTTTATGAACGCTAAGCCGGGGGAGTTCTCCGGGATCGGAGGTGCCTCTCTCAGTATAGCCAGGCAGGGTCCCTTGGCATTCTACAAGGGATTTATTCCGGCCCTGATACGTGTTAGTCCCAATACGGTCATCACCTTCGTTTTGTACGAACAGGCACGAATGCGATTTGGATATTTGCCACCTGACAAGAAGTGATGGCCCCAAAATCGTATCCATTTGGAATATCTACTTAAATTATATTTTATACTCATGATTAAGGAATAAATAATCTTTCGTACAGGACCATTGAGTTGGCAATAATCCGGACCTAATCTGCTGCCACTGTGCTCATTAGCACCGCTGGACCGTTGGACCGCTGGACCACTGGATCGCGGACCGCTGACCGCTGACCACTGACCACTAACCGCTGGTCAGCGAGCTCTGGGGGTCAACGAATGCCGCTCACGGTTTATGAAATTTGCATACCCACTAACCACGTGAGCACCCAATCCGCGGCGGTTAGCTAAGCCGGCTGCACACTCGCTGCTCGTAATTAGGGAGCGGGGTTAGCAAGGTGCAGGGGTCGCAACCCCGAACACCAAGTTCTAAGCCGCAACCGCACGAGAAACGGGAAATTATCGAGAAAAACTGGAAACCTGGCGAGCCCAGGATCTTGTCCCTGCTCCAGAAACATAATCCTCCAAAGGGAAACTATGTCACAAAGGTAGCAGGGTTACAAAATTTTAATATTCGCTGGCATATTAGTTTAGTTTAGGGTGCTTTTCTAGGCCCATGAGTTTCTAGGGACTGGGTACCTAAACTGCTCAACATGTTGTCTAAAGCGGGTTTTTAATGGCAATATTCCGTTGCGGTTCAATGGATGTTTCAATGATTACAAAATTAGAAGGAGAAACTGATAAAAACAAGGCAAGCTAAATGGCAAACTCACAAGCAAAGCGTTATAATAATGCAAGTTCTGAGATTAGAATGAGAAACTGATAAAAGCTATGCAATCCTATGGATTGTTAGGGGAGCTAGTCTAGAAACCTTTACCTAAAAATGGCACACATAATTACAGAACAATATAATAAGTGCATTTCCTCGATTCCCATGCTTAAGTCTACTATTCATAGCAGAGTCCGGACACTTGAAATAATTCTCGCATATCCCGCAGGACTAAGTTCCCGAGCGCACAATTTAATTTAATTTCACACAATTTAGCTACTTGCAATAAAACCCCCTGGCCCACAGCAAAAAATCACTTGAAACCGAAATTACTTCGAAACCGGGCAACCGAAATTGCTGTCTGTGGAATGTGGGAACATTCTGAACCACCCCTGACAAAAAAACAAGAAACAATCTTTTGCGCATTAATTTCTTTTTGCCGGTTAAACACATATAAATGATTCGGGACCTACCACGTTCTCGGCCATGTGAGAGACCCCTGAGCTTTGACTTCCCACGCGGTGAGCCAACCACCACCCACCCAACGATTACACCAACGATTACAATATGCGTATGCAGTACGCACCCCATAGGGGTGGTTCGACCCAGAGATCGGCGTCAACACCATCGCCTTCAACATAATACACACGTCAAAACTTCCAATTAGAGACAATCATTCGGATCTGGGACAGGGGAAAGAACTTGTGATATTGATGCGGGGTGGTTTCATCGCTCGGCGCTACGGTGACTACAAAAAGCATCGGGCTGGTCGGACGGGATTTCATTCCTTGGATTACCAGCAGAGCGACAGGATCGGGAGGACGCAGCCCGTGGAGGGGTGGTTGCATATCATTATTATCATTATAGTTGTGTGGTGTCATCGAGAGTGCGATGATTCTGTTTTTATTGCGGTTCGAGTCAATTAAGTGGAATATTTCGCGACATTTCTGAATGGTTTTCCGTGTTAAACATAATAAAAACCCTGTTTCGGGCACTTGTTGGCGTCATATTTAATTTATGCACATGTGGACGGAATGTAAATGGAAATGCACTTGAAAGGGATTTATGATCCATTTATTTCGCTCCCGTGTGAGGAGTTAATCGAACATACATAACCCATAAATAAAGCTCAATAAATTCGATTTGACTGCAACCACTGAACCCGAAAATGTGTTTTCCTCCTCACTTCTAGTCCCAACCCACTCGCATCTATCTCGGATTTGGCCTGTGCTATAGGGTTTTAAAAATAGCTAGCACAGCAGATCTGCCGCTCTCACTCACACACGCATGGTACCATAAGGAGAGTGTTTCCAATTATTATTATTATTTAGTGCTCGCTCTCTCTCGTCGTGTGAACTTTAATTCTGTTTTGATTCTTCGCCTTTCGGGAAGTTGTCCAAAAACAATAGTTGCTCTAGTTTGCCGGCAGAAGTTTAAGTAACATCTCACTTGTTTCGTTAGTGTCTAATATTTTGGAGCATTGAGATACCACGTTTTGTGATGTAACGCGAAAATGCCCTAGGAAAAGCGATCTGAAGAACACTGAACTAGGGAAATGTGGACCAGAAAGCTACTTATTGGATTCGTGAGATTGCCGGCTTCAAATCCGAGATGTAAGTGGTATCCGTATAGTGTAGTTCCGAATATTCGGTAGAATGTTTGTAAGCCCCATTTCCTATGTAAAGTATCCAAACTACGCAAAACATCCGATTTCAAATTTGCAGCAAACGGTACCCTTATTTATCTACTGGATTTATCGATTAGTGTATCTGACCTACTACGATTCATAATGTTGAATGAAAAGTATAATTTTTTCCAAACTATGTATATTAGTCGCCCTCGCTCACTCTCATGGTACGCTTCGTCACTACGAGGGCTATCGTCCATAGTCATTATACGTTTCCTATACAAATATTTCGAATATTTATAAATTTGACTTTGAAAATTTTATATGATTTAATCAAAAAATATGTTCCTTAAAATATAAATATTTTCCCAGGTAAACGTGAAGTAAAACAAAAACACAAAATTCGTAAACCTTGTAAAAGTTCGTAACAAAAAGTTCAATTTTTTGCAAAGCATTATTCTAAAAAATGATTTCAGCTAAACTAAAGAAAACTACTCATAATGAAAAGAAAGCGGATGAGGTGTAACTTATGAATTTATTCGGGACTCTTACAATTAAGAACAAGATCAGTGCCACGGCACCTGGTTTCCAATGGTGCCTTTTTTGTAGAACTTGGCCGTGGCCGAGGCGGTAGTGGCCAGTGTCGGAGTGGGCGGAGCAGGCTCGTAGTTGGGCCCGCTGCCCTCTGCCTTTAATACGGCGGCACATCGCCACTGCCTGTTGTAGTTCATCCGCCACAGACGCACGCAACCGTCGTCTCCCGTGGAGATCAGCATCGTTGCCAGCATATTCCAGCAGACGCGCCACACAGGACAATTGTGCTCGCTAAACTTAATAGTCTGGATGTCCAGCTTGGAGATGCCAGTGGCGTCCCTTAAATTGTAAAATTATTATTATAAGATGCCTTTGGGTCTTTAAAATATCAATCTTACGTCACATCCCGCAAGTTCACAATATAAAGATCCTTGCTGGCCACTGCCAGCATGTGGAAGGTTCGTCCGGCATTTGGAGCAAAGGCCACATCCGTGACCGGATCGGTTATATCGTTGACAGTCTCGATTTTAACGCACTTTCTGGTATTCTCGCTGTACGCAAACAAGAACACCTTTCCAGTAGGCGTGGCCGCCTCGTCGCTGCCCGCCTGCAAAATAATTAGGTAAACATTAGGTTTGTTTCCGCACCACAGAGATAAGATTCATATTTAATAGGCTAAGATGAAGCCGTCTTAGGAATTTTAACGTGCTCACCGCCAGCAGCTGAGTGACCATGTAAGTGGATGTGTTCCAGGATAAACAGCTCAGCGGCAGTTTGTTGGCAATCTCGTGCTGCACAGGCCACTGCGATAGGTTCATAATGTCCGGGGCCTCATAGATGCGGATGATGCCGTCGGCGGAGGCGGTGGCCAACAGGAGTCCCAGGTACTTGGGCGCAAACTCCACATCCGTGACACTGGTCCTTGAGTCCACAAGGGTGGTGCGGCGCACCCAGCGGCGTGTGGGGGCATTGGTGGCGGATACCTTGTCGCCAATCACTTCCTCCCAAACGGAGGCGGTGCGATCGAAGGAGCAAGTGGCCACAACCTGGCCAAATTCCGGGTGCGCCCAGGAAACGCGCCAAATGGAACCGGAGTGCGCTTTCCAGCTGCTGGTGACATTCCACTTGCCCTGCCCGTCCTCGTCCCAAATCTGCAAGCAGAAAATGCGGATCACCTATGTTGTTTATCGCAGAAAATTTCCAGTCCTTGCCTTGACTGTCTGATCGCTGGAGCAGGTGGCCATCCTGCGGCCGTAGTAATCAAAGACCACATCGTGTATCACATCCTTGTGATCGGCAATAATAGGTTCCACGTCAAACATGCTCAAAACTCTGGTTATTTCCGTAAATGTTGTTTATAAAATGCACGCGCCGAAAATCTGCGCCGGTAATGCAGCCCTGCAAGGACAGGGTTGGCTTGTACCCGCCGAACAGCTGTTGATTACCTCGCTCAGTATTTTTTCAGTCCGCCGAGGCGAACGGTCACATCGGCCAAGTGGTCCGAATTACGCGTGAAATACGAATAAAAAATCAAGCGAAAAATAACAAAACACAGTACTGCAGACGATCACAGGCTGATAACTTATCAGCCGTGCCACACGTCCATCTGGGACTCGCGAGCACCACACAAATCGGGGAGTCAGGACTTTAGTAGCCGAAAAGAGGCCCGTTTCGCACCCGGAAAAGAACAGTTACACACAACAAAATTGCCAACCGAAAGAAACGTGCGAAGCGCAGTGCGATGGAGAAGAGTAAGTGCGGTAATCTAAGCGCTAAACGGGTAATTACGGACCGATCCGAGCGAAATATATGCGCATATGTGTATGCAAATGAGCGGGGTGAATAACCCCACAGCATAGACGTAGATCGGGACCCGCGTTTGTTTAGCATTTGAATACGCTGGCTAAAGTGCGGATATCAATCAAAGTGCAATGGGCAGCATAAATTCCAATTACTTTCATCAGCAATATGCTCGTCTTTCCTTGCTTGCCCTCACTCGCTCTCACACTTGCAGCTGACCTTGATTCCTATTGGATTTCACACATCGCGCGATGCCCGTGTGTGTGTGTGTGTGTGTGTGTGAGTGTAGGCGAGAGAGCAGCATATCTGCCAGCGTGCGTGTATGTCAGCCGGCATCAATTACCTAATAAGAACTAAATTGGAGACTGCACTTATTGTTGATATTGTATTGCATAAA